ATTTTTTTTTTTATCCAAAATAGGGGGGGTGAGGCCCTTCCCTGGATCAGCCACTGTTTACTAAGAGAAATAACCCCAGGTACCTGCAACAGACTATTCAGGATTGTCACTGGTTTTTCATTATGGAAACAGTCCAGACCTGCCAATCGTAACAGTTTGAGTTTCTCATTCTTATTTTGAACCAACATTTTTAAATGTGGATACATTGAATTCAGACCTGTTTTAACTCACGCCAGTGTTGGTCAGCAGCTTTTGACATGGCTCATATAGGCCTTGAAAATTCCCTGAAAATGGAGAAATTTAGATTTTCTTGAAAAGCTAACTTGGATTTTAATACCAGCAACTTGTCAAGTCCTTGAATACCAGAGATTACGGGATAAAAAAATATCATATCAACATGGCCATAAATAGCAAACTGTAAGACAACAAAAACATAACTGATATCAATGATACAGTATCTTACAGATCCTTAAAAATTTATCATGTGAAGCATCCAGAATTGTACAGTGAAACCTGTATTAAGTGGACACCCTTGAGACATTCACTGATGTCTGCTTAATACAGGGTGTCTGTTCTAAGCAGGTTCTGATATATTGTGCAATGATAGTTAATTATTAACTCTTTTGTAACACGGCATAAGATCAAAGACTGCTCATAGCACAGTGTTCAGTCAGTCAATGCATCAATCTGGAATAATCTACTTAACTTTAAAATGACATCACTGGACAAGGTTAAAAGGAGTCTGAGCTGAGCTTTTAGAAGTAAAAAGCCCTTGAAGTGTCTGCTTATTGCAGGTTCAGTATTGGAAAATGGCTGAATATTGGTGTCTGCTTAAGGTTTGGGTTAACGGAGGTGTCCACTGAATGCAGGGTTATTTTACAGCACACAGAGCATCCAGCTGTTCATGGGAATGTAGTTTGCTATGTGTTTTTTTTTCCAAAGCTGGGTTGCCTGTGGAAGAAGCCAAATTGTAAGGCCTGCTGCACATCATCAACATCAAGTAAAAAATTATAGAAAAGGGGCAGGGATCATAATACTTTTTCCAGGCTTGTTCACTTAAGGAATGATTGCTATCACTTTTCCAATGAACTGAAACTGTTGAGTTGTGAAAATTATCCCAATTCTGAAATTTTTCGGGAGAATTTTTCGGGAGACCATCACCTCCAAACACATGCAAAAAAAACAATCTCACAAACTGTCACCTTCGTGATTTTATACTGATTTTCCCTCTAATTCAACATTGTGTTATCAGTGTGAGCTTGACAAACAATAATTCTCAAACTCATTAATAAAACACATTGTTATGTCGTGAGAATTTTATATAATGAAATCACATGGTCACTTGGTGATACAAAATTTCTCTTCTCATGTTGGAAACAGTCTATTTCACTTGTCCACTGCACTCACTCGTGAAGTATTTTTCAACCCTCAAAGAGAAATTTTGCATCTCTGTATGACCATGTAAAATTCTCTATATAGTAAAAGCCAGAAGGTCAACTGGTTTGCCAAAAAGTTAGTCGCGTGAAGATTTCAAACACAATACTTTCAACACAACACTAAGGTATCTGAAGAGTGTCCAAAATTTGGCCAAGTTCTAACTCAAACTATCAACTACAAGTGAGCTTAATATGGAAAATAAAGTCTTGCATATACCGTAAAGTTCTGAAAATAAGCCCGGGGCTTATATTTTTCAAAGGACCTTTTTGAGGGGGCTTATAGGAGGGAAATTTGCATTTCAAAATTGGCTGGGCTTATAATTGAAGGGAAATTTGTCTCAAAATTTTTGACTGTGCAGCTGGTAATATTAGGGTTTTGGCTAGAAATTCGTAACAAATAAATCACACTGAAAATGCCAAGTTCAAACACAACAGCAATAAACTTTATTAGAATGGAAATACAGTAAAAACGATAACATAGTTCAGACCCAAAGTTCATGATGACTATGAAAGCTCATATCATTCTTCATCAGTTTCCCCTGCATCAGTGGCTTCAAGATCTCCCTCATCTGAGTCATCGCCTCTGTCGGTGGAAGTGTCCAAGCTTCCAGATAATGGTGACTATGTGTAGTCTGCTTTGGTTTGTATAATTGTGTAGTTCCAGAAAATATCATATTTGCTAACACCTCCCCACCCCTCTGGAAATTCCAGTTAAGCTTTATACATTTCTTTAAATTTTTTGGTCTTACAGAACCCCCCACCCCCCAGGAAATTCCAATCCCTTCTGTGGGGGGAGTATGGATATTATCTGGAACTGCACATTGAGGATAATTTCCAAATACAAGTTGCCGGGCTTTATATTCGAAGGGACTTATTATAGGACATATTTTTGTGTTTCAGATTTGGGTGGCTTCTATATGGAGGGGATTATACATGGGGGGGCTTATTTTCGGAATTTTACAGTATATGCTTCCTGAGCGTGTTTGAACCTGAGGTTTGAGTACCAAATACCAGAATTTCTAGAGGTCAAATGGTTTGTGAGATCCAAGTCTCAAGCAATCAAGAACAGTCAAGCTGTGATAAAGGTTCTCAATATCTACAGGTACACATTTAGAGGCAGATTTTTTCTGACAAAAATATGAGATTAAAAATTTTTGGAAAACTTCAAATTACTTTGCACTCTAAAGCAAGAAATGCACTAAACTTAGTCCTAGACCCCACCCCGCCCACCCTTTGAGGAAGGTGCCATGTTATATATGCTCCATAGACAGTTTGTTACCTCCTCCTTGAACCCTGGCTAAAAGCCTGCTAACATACCATGCGGCCCCAAAAGGATGGTTTTTCAGCCATTTTGGTCAGAAATACAGAATCGATTTTGCCCATATTGGTCATATATAGGGTATGGGTTTTGTACTCTAGTCTTGAATTGGGTATGTTTTTTAGAAGAAACTACTCTACTCTCATCATTATTGATAAGACCATAAACAAAAGCTCTTCACAATACCTTTCACATCTGAAACATGGTATTGATTAAAGAGTCAGGTCATGAATAGGGTATCAAATTTTTGGTCAGGTCATAAATAGCGTAGGGAAAACTGCAGCTTTTGGTCATAAATAGGGCAAGGGTTTTGGGAAGTGGGCTGCACACCCCCTCCTATTTTTTCTGGGAGTACCCCCCCCCCCCNCCCAGGTTTCACCACGTTTTACTTCAGACGTAAAATGGCAGTGAGTATGACTGAACTGGCTACAGCTTTCAATGAATTGAAGTTTTCTTGTTTGGCCATATACCAGTACATGTAATAAACAACCTATTTACCAACGTTGGTAAATCTAGACCCCTGATGACAGACCTCGCTGCATACCATCTATAATCACAAGATCAGCCCAGATTTTCCCATACAGACCTCACTATCAGTCAATAAGAACTAAAAATAATGCACATGTCTCAGCTTAAAAGCCAGTAAACTTAAAGGATGTAAAATTACAAGGTAAAATAACAGGGAGATTTCAAAATCATCATCTTTTTTGGTTTTTTGGACAATAATCACACAATCCATTGCTTTGTCCTCCACTGGAACAAATACAGGCCAGTGAATGTTCGACAACAAAGTTTTTTATACCTAGCTGTAGTAAGGTTTTGTGGTCAAAATTGTTGACAATAACCTCAAATGCGATATTCACAGTCCAACCATGCAGGTTCAGTAGCAGGTCTGCAATGTTGTCCATAACATAATGCATGGTAAACAAACTGAGTATAAGCAATAACAATGACAACAACCTAAAAACTTGAGGGATAGTATGGTGTTTTGAAAAAAATTCATGTTCTGCAGAATTTTAGTTAAACTATATGGGTCTCCCTGTTTCAATTTTTTTTTTCTAAGTACCATGTTGGTATCTTAATTTTGTTTGTAACATTAAGAAGATTATGGGCTCCCTGAGAGTATTATTTAGTCTCAGTGGTTCCTGCAGTCTTAAATTTACCTTTTGCAACACTAAATTTCCTCGCATTTTGCCAAAACATCTCTTGATATCCGCAGAGTAGAAATGTGGTAGCATTCCTTTTCATCCTTTATGTCAAAAGCCCTGCAGAACTTCCATTGATTTTTCTCAATGTCGCACACATGCAGTGATCTGTGGCGTCTGTTCTGCTCATCTTGGAAATATCCAAAAACATATATTTTCCCTCTGAAACTGATAGCACTGGCAAAATATCTTGGTGCGACCTCACTTGCAATGTTACTCCAGATACTAATGTCAGGATCATACATTTCACAGGCAGCCTCTAGCCTTGATTGTTTGCTAAGACCTCCAAACACAAATACCTTTTGTTTGACCACTGAACCACCAGCAGACGCTCTCTTTACATGAAGAGAAGAAAGCTTATCCCAAGTATTGTTTCTGGGATCAAACCTTTCAACAATGTCTAGGTGTCCAATACCTCTACTATAGCCACCAATGGCGTACAAATAATTTCCGTCAGCCACGGCACAAACATATGATCTGGCACTACTCAGGGGAGAGACTTCTTGCCACTGATTTGTATCAGGATTGTATTTCAGCACAGTGCTAATTGGCTTGACTCTGTTGTCGAATCCACCAACAACATACAGGAAACCCTGGAGTGCAGCAGCAGCTGTACAATTCTCTACAATTCCAGGAGCCTTTGCAGAAACCCATTGATTACGTGCTGGCTCAAAGCACTCTACAACACTGCTACTTGCGTCTGTGCGTCCTCCAATAATGAACAATTTACTGTGAATGGAACTTGTGCTACAAAGCCAAGCGTTGCGTTTGGACAGCATGCTAGCCAGATAATACCACTTGTTTTCCAAAGGAAGATAGCACAATGTTTTCTTTTTTCCACAAGCAACTATAGCATTTTCATGGGTCCTCAGACAATCTCTTGGAGGCTGAGAAAAGAAGCACTCATCTGTACCATTAGCAACCTCTTTCATGGCATCTAATACGAAATCTGTGCATGCTGAACTTGTCTTCACTAAGGGATGCTGCAAAATGATATTGAACACATAGCTGCGGGACAGGTAAATACAGCGAACATGACGTAATAACTGCAAAAAATCCAGGTCTTCTCTGTTCCCCTTCTCCATCCACCTTACAATCACTTGGAAAACTTCTTCCTCCTCTTTGACAATGATTCTATCACTTGAAATCCATTCTTCTACTTCTTTGCTGCTCAGATTCAGGAAGTCGTCAGTTCCAGCCACAGCAACAAAGTTGGCAAGAATGAAATCCCTCGCTCCATTCTGTAGTTCTTCCCACTGGTACTTAATGGCAAAGTAATAAACCATGATGCAGTTGGAAAGATCTAGCGTTTGTAAAATGAATTTACCGGACAAAGCTTTAAGACTTGGAATCAGAAAAAAATCCGCTTGTGCAAACAACTCGAATGCATTCTTTTCAGTAATTTCCACACGTCCAGTATACAGATAATCTAGGACTTCTTCCATCGAAGCTTTGCTCATTTCTTCCAATCGGATCACTCCTTCACTCTTTTCTTTCATGTCACTGTTAAGAGTGTTGTAAAAGAACGGACTTGCTGCACATAACACGTTTCTGTGAGCTTTCACATGTGCTTGATCGTCACCGGAGCCAACTTCTAGAATCACATCACAGAAATGTTCGTTCCTTCGCTGAATGTCGAGGCGTTTCATCATTTCAGTACAAAATGAATGCTCCTCGTTGTCTGCAATTGGTTCAAGTAGAGATTCCATGAAGAAGCTGGAGGAATTATGCGGAGGAATTATCACAAAGTGAAGATCGCTTTGAAATGAACCGGAGTGTAAAATACCTGGGTAACGGTCTGGGAAACGAGTGAAAATGGCGCGGTTTAAATGCCGCTGTACGTAGCAGAGCCCGCCGAGAGTAGCTCCCAGTCTTCTTGCACCAATAACCTTTTTTTTCCCCTAGATGCCCCATCTAATTAACCGCGCGGCCATGGGCCGAGCGCGGTTCTAGGTTTACCCGTGGTTTATTAACCGCGCGGCC